TCGTGCCCATCTCCCCGGCTATCCAAGAACGGCCCCAAGTACTGTGCTGTGCTAGTGCTGGGGAGAGCATCGGCGCTGCTGCTCACGTGCTGCAAAAAACGGAGGTGCCACAGCGGGAGTAGGGAGAACCAGGGGAAGGAGGGAATCCAAGGGGGTAGGCGATGCTAACAAATTCAAGATGCGCACTCTCCCAAACTTTTTTTTTTTTGTTTGTCTGATGGCCTTGGGCTTTTTCTGCTGTAGCTTTCAAATCTCTGGCAAATAGCTCGCTGCAGCTCTGCGTTGGAATCCTTTGGGGGTTAAATAAAATGAAGGTAGCTGTGAACTCTGTTCTCCTTCAAACTAATGGACTGTTTTTTTTTTTCCTTCCCCTTTTTCTGCCTCTCTCCCCTCCCTCATCTTCTCCCCCCCCTCCCCAAATAGCCCCCTTTGTCCACTTTTATGAATTGAAACATGCACACACACTTGCACACGCAGGGAATCCTGCCCATTAATTAAAGGACTTGTCAGCCCCAATCCTGGATTCTTACAGTGCAGGAAATGTCTCCCCTTTTAAGTGCAAAACCATAACATTACCATTTCCCCAAGTGCTCTCTGTTTTAGGCTGCTTTCCTAATTAGAGGGATGATAACAGCCCTGCTGATTGGCATTATAAAAGCACTAGTTTGGCTTCATCTGTCCCAGGTGTGCTGTGTAATTTTTTTCTTCTCACCGTTTCAGAGCAGTACCTCTCTCCTTCATTGTTCCTTAAAGTTTTCATCTGAGGAATTAATACAGATAAAAAGACATTAGAAAAGAACCTCCACTGCCAAAGCTCATCAGTGGAACCTTTTATCAAAAGTACAAACTATACAAGTTAGTTTTTTTTTTTCACCCTTTTGTTTCTGAGGGTTAAAAAAAAAAAAAAGAGAGAGAGAGAGAAAGAAAAGAGGAAAGGGGAGAAAAGGAGAGAAGGGGAAAAAAAAATCCAGAGCTCTGTCAATGGACTGAATGCACCATTAAAACTGGCGTCACTACAAAGGTTAGAGCAGATCTAACTGTCAATACAGTGAGTGGAGTGGAGTCCGGTAAGGGGGGGAGCTTTGGTGAGAAAGAGATACTTTGATATTTTGGAATGTTAGAAGGGTGAATGTGAAAAATTGGAGGTTGGGGATCTAATTACCCAACCATAATTGGGGGCTAGGGAATAAGTTGCAGTCCTCTCAACTCACCGCAGATCAATTATGTTAAGAGAACATCTGTAAGTAGAACTTAATGAGGTCCATTAGAGCAACATGTACAGCCTCCTCTAACAGTACTTGTCAGCTTCTTGGATGAGCTGAAGGAAGCTGCTAACTAGGGACCTGGTGAGGTGTTTAAATACTGGAGGAGCAGAACTGGCCCACTCAGGTTTTCATTTCAGCTGGGGAAGAAAGTGAGGAGGAAGAAGAGACAGGGAGGGGGGAAAGGAAGAAGGGGGAAAGCAAAGCAAAGCCAGGGGCTCCTTTCATCTGCGCTGGTGCAATTAAACCGGGGGAGAAGTGGGGAATAGAACAAGCTTGATTTTTCCCCCCCCTTTTAGCTGAGTTTTTGTTGTTATTTTTAATTGGACTGTGCAGAAACCAAACTGTTGGGTTTATTTGCGTTCTGTATATTTTTGCTGCACAGTAGACACTGCATCTTGCTTGCATCTTTTGGATTACACAGAAATATCTGAGTCCTGAACGGGGAGCAAAATCTCAAATTGTGAAGTATCTTTTTTATTTTTTTTCCTCCCCCAAAAAGAGTAAGCTGAAAACTTCAGGGAAAAAGAAAAGACCTTTTGAGTCTTCTTTTCCTGTGGAGGGTTTCTTTTGCTAAAAGGTAAGTTATTCATTTTTCCCCACTCCTCTGTAGAGATACGGGGGTGAGATTATTGCAGAAAACCTTTTAAAAAATTAAGTAAATTTTATCAAATGGCAAGTATTATGAGCTGCTGAAACACAGGCTCAAGCAAAGGGTAATCGGACCAAAAACCCCTAGGTCTTTACAGCAATCCTTTAGCAAAGATTTTTCTAGGGATCTGTAATTAAACTGGATAGTTTACACTGGAAATGAAGAAATTGCTTGGCTGGCTGGAACCAACCTTTAGCTTGGCTGAGTAAACAAAAGCACAATTTCTTTTCTTTTCACTTTTTTTTGTGTGTGTGTGTGCGTGTGCATGGGGAGGAGGGCGGGCAGGGGAAACCAGGGCGCTCGTTGCGGGTTAATGGTGTTTTTCGCCAAAGTGTCAGGCGAAGATGATTAAATTCCACCTCTTGTTCACCAGATCACTTTTGTGTGCACTTGTATATTTCATTGTCGGCAACCGCTGATGATCACATCTGTGCAGTACATTAAGTGGCAAGCCTCTTCATCGGCATGGGTTTTTTTCTGATGATTTTTTTTTCTGTGAATAATTCATATGATTATGAAGAGAAAAACTGCTATTTTCTATCTCCCTTTCTCTCTTCTGTAGCACAGATTAAAAAAAAATCTTGCTGTAAATTGCATGATTGGGGAGATAGCCTGCTTTCAAATAATTTAATTCATGACAAAACCTAATTACTGTCAGGTAATACCCTGTCAGCTTTAATGCATTTCATCAGTCATAATGAAAAGAAGAGCATTTTATGACCCATCTAATTATCATTACATTTTAGGGGGAAATGAATGGCATGGAGCTGAATGTTAACTATTCCATTTTATTCCTTTACACATGTGGTTTGGCATATTATTCAGTAAGTTTTTTTTCCCCCTTTTTTCTTTTTCTTTTTTTTCCTTTTTTTTTTATTTTTTTCTTAAAGAATCCTTGATTGCTGGGGGGAGTGCAAAGAGGGGTGGAAGATGCAATTAGATCTGGGTGTTTGTTCCTTTCCCTTTTCCGCACATGCACACACACACACAAAGTGACAAAGTGGTTAATGTCTTTGCAGGTTGGTGTTGACATCGGGTATCTTATTGCCACAGTCCAAATAGAGTACTAATTACTGCGAATGATGTCACCGTAGGCAGAGGAATAATCCCATCATTTAATTAGTTGAATGATTTAAACAAAGATTTGCATAGATGCACTAATCAGTTGCCATGAATTACAGAGCAGCAGTTGCCAGCGAGGGGTAACAGATCATACAGTTGGAGGGAAAAAAAATCTCATCTCCTTGAACATAATTAATTTAATTGTCCTCATTAGCTGTACCATTTGTTTTGATTTTATTTCTCCCTTTCCCCACACATAACTTCTCCCTCCCTCTTTTCTTCTCCCTCTCCAAGTGCATTGGCTGAGGGAGGCACACACACACACTCACACTGCTGTATTTTCCGAGTGCTTGTGGCAGAGGTAGTCTATAAACACAGGGAAGTGAGGCTCTCCTGAGCGCATGGGTGCGTGCAGGAGGGAAGCAGGTTTCGGTCAAGTTTGGCTTTTTCTCTATGTGCAGCTCAAGCCAGCAGAAGGGGGTTTGCTTAGCCTGCTGCCTCTGGCTCTGCTTTTCGGGTTCTTGCTCAGGTTGGTGGCGGCTGAGTTTTGTTGCTACTTGGAGAGGGGACAAGGGGGATCAGGAATTGCTCATTGCACAGAATGCTTGTTCCAGGAGCCTTGTATTTAAAAATATATATTGATGTATGTATATCTGTGTGTATATACTTATAGAGAATATCTTAGTTTAAAAGGAGGGAGGAGGGGGGAACCTGTCCTAAACTTAGCCATTTCTGAGGCTGCTTTGATTTTTTTTTTTTTTCCTTTCTTATTAGAACTGCTGGATTACATGGAGGAGGGGTAGAAGGCAGAGTACTTCAATGCTTTTAAATCTTTCTTGGGTCTTGAAAGGCTTCGATAATATGAGTGTCATTCAAATTTAGGGTATATTGTAAGCTGACATGTTTCAAAGCTTTGTGGAAATCTAGTGTGGTGCTTCTAATAGCAGACAACAGATACTCGCTTTGAAGTCTGAAAACTGTATTCACAAATTCTTAATCTGGTCTTTCTCCAACTGCAGATGGCTCTTGGAGGAAGATGCTTTGGATTTTTTAACTTTATTTACAGTACGCTAGGTTCAACATCTTTCCTATAAAACACGAAGAAACAATCATCTGTGAGTGTGACTGTTCATCAAAGTATGCTGGCTCCCGTCCGTGCGTGCATGTCTGTCTGTCTGTCTCGGTCAAGGGTATTCAACACCTACAATACATCTATGTATGTGATTGTTTTGGGGCTTTTTTTGTATTTTTTTTCCCCACCACTAGGTAGAGAATAAGGATCTGTCTGCTTTGGGGGGGCTGAGGATCCTGCAGGGGAGAAAAGAGCTTGGCTGTCTTCAGCGTTTGGCTTAAAAAGTGGCGCAGGGGTGGTGGCATGTGGCACACAGCGCCCAGGCATGTGCCCGGCCGGCGGATGCAGCCGGCGCGTCGTGCCGGAGCGGTGTGCAGGGAAGTTGGACTCCAAGCCGAGGAGGAGGAAACTTTACTGCTGGAGTTTCCACTCCTTTATGAGCAGCTCAGATCTAGCACTGAGAGGCTTCGTTTTCACCTTGAGGGATTTTTTCCTCATTATTCATTAATAGGGAGATACGTATCTTGCCATTTTTTTCCCTTCTTATTTCTTTTGCGTAGGCAACTTATTGTTTTGCTTAAGCAAAGTATTTGGGGGGGAGAGGTGGCAGCGGGGGGGACACACACACATGTTTCCCTGAGTCTGCTCCTGGCGCGCTCGCTGGGAAGGTGATCCGGAGCCGCTTCCATAGAGGTCACTTATGTGTGTGCGAGTGTGCGTGTGTGTCCCTGGTGTTTGTGTCTAGCATATGCATGTGGTTTTGCTGACTGCACTTGCAGGCTTGTAAATTTTCACCATGGGAAATTACCAACAAAGCCCAATCTGTCTCCTGGCTGCTTTGCACTTTCCGAGGGCGGCTGTACTTGAGCGAGCTGCAGAACGGGAGAGGGAGAGGAGAGAGGAAGGGGGAGTGGGGAGGGGGACCGGGAGAGGAAGGGTGGGTGGAGGGGGAGAGAGGTAAATAGCCTTAAATCGGAAGGGAGCTGCTTCTCTGTGGTCTTCCACGAGAGCTGCCTGGGCTCTGCTGGCTCAGTAATAACTGAGTGACCTTTTCTTTCGCTGTATTATGTCTGGCTGGTAAGGGATTGCATTTTGCAGCTGATAAAGCCCTGACTTCATTCAACTCGGCTCCTCACACGCTGCTTTAGGTAAGTTGTCTTCAGCCAGGACGGAGACAGACAGCCTTGGACTGCAAGATACTAAAAGGAGGACACCTGTAGCTCGGATGCGGTCAACACAATTACTTGGCGGATCCTCGAGGACCTCATTATTTTAAACTTAAAGAATAGCGATCTCCCTCCCCACCTCTCCCACCCCCTCTTTATTTTTTTCCCCAAACAATGCTTCTTTTTGACCTTTCCCAAGGAGAAGAGCTACAAAGCAGCCACTGTGCTTATTGAACTGCCTCCCCTGTATCGCTTAATTGAGAAGGTAAGTGAGGCAACTGTGTGCAGAGGCTGTGGGTCATTTGTGTATGTGTGTCTGCATCTCTCTGTGTCTCTCCCGCTCTGAGTCATGAGCTGGGGCTGCAATACACACACACACGTCTCCGCACTGCAACTTTCACTCAGGCTGCAGCTCTGCCGAGACTGTTTTGTTTAAATCATGTGAGGCTTCATTATTTTTATGATGAGACATGAAATACATTGCGAGCGGAGGATGCTGAGCGAAACCCATCCGACTGGATGCCTTGAGAAATCGCAGTCAAAGTTAACAATGAATTGCAGCAGCTTTCTCCCCGACCCCCCCGCCCCGCCGGTTATTGTTATTATTATTATTATTCTTGCTTCTTCCAGAGCTTCTCGAAACGTGCTCTCAAATTACCAGGGGAGTAGGCTCATTTCCCAGTGCCCGGCTTTAATCCGCCAGGCTCCCCGTGCAGCGGCAGTTTAATTTGCGAGTGCCTCGGCGCAGGGTTAACCCTTTCGGCCGGCGGGGGGAGGCAGGAGCAGCCCGCGGCCGGGGGCGCGCAGGGGCGCGCACGGGC